CCCCCCCCCCCAAAAAAGGAATTGTCGAGGACTCCCAGAGCAAGAATCTTATGGCTGTCTGCAAAGAGAAGAAGTTGGATATCCAAATGGTCTGAAAATGGCGGGCAGAATACGATAACCTCAGTCTGTATGTGGACAGTGGATAGAGGAAATGCTAAGAAGCGCAAGTGTGGTTCAGGTCGGCAACCTTTATTTCCTGAGCTGGAAAACATAATCTGTGAATGGATTGCTGACAGGAGAGCAAAGGCTTTGGTTGTGCACAGGGCTGACATTCAAGCATTTGCCCTTGCAATGGCACTACAGTTTGAAATACTCCCAGAATTCAAAGCATCACAACACTGGCTGGACGGCTTCCTTCAGCGATATGAACTGTCTCTAAGAAAATCAACAATACTGTCTAAGTTGGAAGATGCAGAAGTTATTAAGCGAGCACTTGCACTCAAGTTCTAAATACCAACCTTGCAACATAACTACTATGGATGAAACATGTTTATGGGTCAAGGAGCCCAAACAGCAATTGCACCGAGGGGTGCCTCCTCAATCTATGTTCCCTCCACCGGTCACGAAAGTTCATGTGTTACCTGTATTTTGGCCATTTGTCTGGATGGAAAGAAAGCTACACCTCTTATTATCACTAAGGGCAAGAAAGATAAGATTGGACATGCTTCTGGCATTTATGTTCCTGAAACAGAAAAAGCCTGGTGCACACAAGCAGTTATAAGGAAGTAGCTTGATTTAATGCTGCCACTTGTTTTGCGAGATGGCCATAGAGGTCTGCTAGTCTGGGATTCAGCCAGCACTCACCGTGCTAAAGATATGAAGAACTTCCTTGCAGAGAAAAAAATAGGTCAAATGATGATTCCCGCAGAAATGACTGCCTATCTGCAGACTCTTGATATTGGAATAAACAAGCCATTCAAAGACCATTTGCGTATGAAAATTAATGACTACACTGAAAATAGAACGACAAAAAATCAGCATGGAAACTTTGTGAAGTCTAGCCTGCAAGAGGTTGTGACGTGGATGAAGAATTCATGGAATAAAATCACTGACAGTGTTGTTACCAATGCACTCTGGGCAGGTTACATGGATAAGAGCAGCTCATTTAACGAGAGGTCTTTTGCTCCACATGAAAGATGGGGGCCAATGGTTCTATGGGAAATGGAGTCACAAGAAATTCAGGATGGAATTCTGGGTCTGGAGAGTTATGATGATGTTCCAGAAGATGATGACTTAACTGTATTTGAATAAATGTAGATTGTTGTATTATACTTAATAAAAATAAGACATCCCCTGAAAATAAGCCCTAGTGTGTCTTCTTGAGAAAAAATAAATATAAGACAGTGTCTTATTTGGGGGGAAACAAGGTATATATAAATGAACAAAAATTTATACATGAATTCAGAAAATAAGGAATTCCCCAACAGGAAGATATAGAAAAATATGCAGAAGCAATTTTGTTCAAACCCATTCTTTGTCCACTCATCATCTTACATTAATTACTTGGCCAGATTTTAGCCTCCCCCACTAGCAATGGTAAATAATTTCAGTAAAACATTTATTCCTGTGGAATTCTATGGATCTGTGACACTCTGCAAATGGAGTGTATGGATTTATGCAGACTATTTTATACAGCTTCTATCTCAGAATATACAATGGAAAAAAAAATTCCTTGTCTTTAATGATGTCTGTAAGTGAGAGACGTTAAAGGTAAGAACCAATTGAGAGCAATTTCCAGGGTAGAACAGTAGCCTGTTTTTCATTGTTCTCCATCCATTTTAACTTAATCTTTGTACAGGAACAAAAAAAACGTTTAAAAGCGCAAACATTTTAAATCCATTTGACAAAAATAGAATACTTACCAGTTCCCTCATCTGCACCATTCTGCACAGGTTCCCAAACTACTAGTTTTGTCCCATACCCATCTGTAGATGGAGTATCTGAATAGTCTGCAGGATTAAATGTACTGGAATTTGAAATATAGAAAAAATAAATACAAATGAAGTAAGTATCAAAGTCACAAAATTAACTGTATCTGACGTCCCCCCAAACAAGCCCAGTCCCCTCTACTGGTCATGGTTTATTCTCCTTCCCTTACATCAGGATGCAGATCTAAGAAGCTAGAGGCCGCCTTGGGATAATCCATACTCTTTTTTTGAGACAAGAGTCTCACTCTGTTACCCTGGATAAACTGCCGTGGCATCATAGCTCACAGCAACCTCAAACCTTTGGGCTCAAGCAATCCTCTTGCCTCAGCCTCCTGAGTAGCTGGGACTACAGGTGTGAGCCATTGCACTTCACTTTATACTCTTTTATTATGATGGCCTTATTTTCCTTAAGTGCTATCCTCTGCACCATAAAGCAGGATGTGGAACCCTAGAATCTTTCAAGGCGGAATAAGGGCTCTCCAGGAAACTAAGGCATAAATAGGCAACAAGTCTTTCCTTTCCATGTCAGAACCCATCTAACTTTGAACATTTTACAGAAGACTTACATGTTCCTTTATGTAGAGAAACACTTACTATAGTTAAGAAGAAAATATTTTGTTTAGCACCTCTTTTTATTAAAATCCTAAACTGAACAACCATAAGGAATCACAATTCAGAGGTCTAACATCGGCCTAAATAAATACTACCTTAAAATTTTTCAAAACAAATATGAAGTAAACAGAAAAACCTACAAAACAGCTTAAAGCTAATGAGATAGTCCACAGTTTTCTCACTGTGTTTTCTTCCCTACTTTTTCCACAGGCAGCTGAGGCAGAAGAGAGATGGTAGGAGGCAGCATGATTTCTATAAGGCACTGACTCCAAGAGTGCTGCCCTGAAGCTATGAGGAAACAAAGGGATTTTCCTGGCTTCCATAAAATGTTTTAGAAACTTAACCTTTTCTAATCCAGTGGGAGCTAATATTTTAGAAGAAAAGGACATCCAGAAATGGGGAATAAACTACTGATTGAGTTCATCACTTACTATTACAAATCAGGAAAAAAATTATCACTTTTATATAAATATACATTGCATTTATTTAGCATTCACAGAGAATTCCTAGACTCACCAACAAAGCTATTGTACAATGGTTTTCTTTTTTTTTTTTTTTTTGAGACAGAGCCTCAAGCTGTCCCCCTGGGTAGAGTGCCGTGGCATTACAGCTCACAGCAACCTCCAACTCCTGGGCTCAAGCGAGTCTCCTGCCTCAGCCTCCCAAGTAGCTGGGACCACAGGCGCCCGCCACAATGCCCGGCTATTTTTTGGTTGCAGCCGTCATTGTTGTTTGGCGGGTCCAGGCTGGGGATTCAAACCCACCACCTTAGGTGTACATGGCTGGCACCTTAGCCGGTTGAGCTATAGGCGCCGAGCCTGTGCAATGGTTTTCAAATAAGGGTGATTATGTGCACCTGCACACCGACACCCATTATATCTGTAAGCTTTTGGTTGCCTCAATATTGGGTGACACGCTACTGGCATCTAGTAGGACAAGAACAGAAATGTTGCTAAACATCCTATAAGGTATAGGACACCCCACCACCCCTCTAAAGTATTATCAAATCCAAAATCTCAATAATGCCAAGGCTAAAAACAATGATCCAAAGCTTATACAAAGACCAATTTTCTTTATGCTATTTCACTTGTTAGTAAAATCTTTCCAGGTGTAGAGAACACCTGACCCACCAGGATAAATATATTAGGTATAAGACAGAATAAGGTAAACTAGAATAACAACAAGAGAAAGGAAAATAACTTCAGAAATAGGATGGCTACGACTTACCCCATGCCATGGGTTGAAAACCTTCCTGCCCCTCTCCCTCTGCCACGTCCAAATCCTTTAAAAAACAAACACAACAAAACATAAGATAATGTTTTTAACATAAGCCCTACACAATTAGACTTCTTTCAACTTCTTCATCCTATACCCATTACCCAAACAATATTATTGTGCCTAGCAGCACCAACATTCCAATCTAGGACACCTAATTTTTTGGTCCTTGCTGATGAAACTACTTGCCCAGTTAATGATTTTAAAGGCTAGAAAGGAATTAAATTTTGCTTTCATAATATTTGAGGTATTCAACAGTTTAAAACTGGCAGATTATAAGTCTTCATCTTTAAAAACTAGTAGACCATTTTGACTTACTCAGAGTTCCACAAAGAAAAAAGGAAAAAAAAAATCAAGTAGAGCAAACACCATGACCTCATAAAAGCCACTACTATTAAATGAAATGAGAACCAGAAAGAAAGAAACAGCAGTAAGTTGCAGGCACTGTTAAAACTGTTTCTAATACCTGGATTTTGATCAATGACCAAAATGACGGAAGGAATGAGAACAAGCAAGTGGGTAGAGAAAACTTTGTTTAGCACCTCTCTACTTTCTTTTTTTTTTTTTTTTTTTTTTTTGAGACAGAGCCTCAAGCTGTCCCCCTGGGTACAGTGCCGTGGCATTACAGCTCACAGCAACCTCCAACTCCTGGGCTCAAGCGAGTCTCTTGCCTCCGCCTCCCAAGCAGCTGGGACCACAGGCGCCCGCCACAACGCCCGGCTATTTTTTGGTTGCAGCCGTCATTGTTGTTTGGCGGGTCCGGGCTGGGGATTCGAACCCGCCACCTTAGGTGTACGTGGCTGGCGCCTTAGCCAGTTGAGCTACAGGCGCCGAGCCCACCTCTCTACTTTCTAAACTGAGGATCAAAGAACAAGCTTAAGAGCTTGCTATGAAAAATGTTACAGGAAATCACAGGGTAACTCTCTCACAATACTGGATCTTTCAATGTGGATTCAGCAATGATTTCGTGGATATGACCACAAAGGCATAGGAAAAAAAAGAAAAACAGATAAACTGGACTTTTTGAAAATTAAAAATTTTCGTGTATCAGAAGACACTAGCAACATAGTAAAAAGGCAATCCACACAATGAGAAAAAAATATCAGATCACATAGTAACATCTGGAATCTACAAGGAATTCTTAAAAACTCAACAACAAATAAAGAACTTGATTTAAAAACAGAGCACTTGAACAGACATTTCTCCAAAGAAGATATACAAATAGCAAACAAATACATGAAAAGACACTCCACATCTCACTAAGCACTAAGGAAATGCAAAGCAATCCGCAATACCACCTCACACCCATCGGGAAAGCTACTATCAATACATAATAAAAAGAAAGCCAGAAAGTATTAGGGAGAATGAAGAGAACACCCTCATTCTAGCAGAAATGTAAAATGGTAAAGCTGCTCTAGATAAAAATATGGTAGTCCCTTTAGAAAATACAATGATCATGTATCAAGCAATTCTGATTCTGTGCAATATCCATATAAACAATTGAAGGCAAGGTCTCAAAGTGGAGCTTGTATACTCATGTTCATTAACAGTATTATTCACAATAACCAAGAGGTGAGCCAGGTAAGAGAGCTCATGCCTATATTCTTAGAGGCTGAGGTTTGAGAGGAAGCCTAAGCTCAGGAGATCAAGACCACCCTGAGCTGGCTCAGTGCCTGTGTCTCAAGTGGCTAAGGCGCCAGCCACATACACCCAAGATGGAGGGTTTGAATCCAGCCTGGGCCCGCCAAACAACAATGACGGCTGCAACCAGAAAATAGCTGGGCGCTGTGGCAGGCACCTGTGGTCCCAGCTACTTGGGAGGCTGAGGCAGGAGACTCGCTTAAGCCCAGTAGTTGGAGGTTGCTGTGAGCTGAGATGCCACGGCACTCTACGCAGGGGGACAGCTTGAGGTTCCTGTCTCAAAAAAAAAAAAGACCACCCTGAGCAAAAGCAAGACCTTGTCTCTATGAAAAACAGAAAAATTAGCCAGGCATGTGGCAGGTACCTGTAATCCCAGCTACTCAGGAGGCTGGGGCAGGATTGCTTGAGCCTAGGAGTATGAAGTTGTGATCTATGATGCCATAGCATTCTAGGCCAGCAAAAGAATGAGACTCTATCTCAAAAAATAAAAACAAACAAACAAAATCACCCAGAAACACAAAACACACAACAATAACCAAGAGTTGGAAGCAATCCATGTTTTCATTGAAAGATGAAAAGATAAACAAAATGTGGTATATACATACAGTGGATTATTACTCATCCTTAAAAAGAAATTCTAACACACATTACATGGATGAGCCTTGTGGACATTACCCTTAGCAAAATAAGTCAGCCACAAAAGGTACCTACAGTAGACAAATTCATAATAAGAAAGTAGAATCATGTCCAGACACTAAGAGGAGGAAAGAAGGGCAGGTTACTGTTTAAAGAATTTTAGTTTAACAATATGAAAGTAAGTTCTAAAGATGGATAGTAGTGATGGCATATACAGCAATATGAATGTACTTAATACCACTGAACTGTACTATTAAATTAAAATGGCAAACTCAGCAATGCCTGTAATTCAGTGGGTAGGGCGCCAGCCACATACACTGAGGCTGACCGGTTTGAACCCGGCCTGGGCCAGCTAGAAAAAACAATGGCAACTACAATCAAAAAATAGCCAGGTGTTGTGGCGGGCATCTGTAGTCCCAGCTAATTGAGAGGCGCAGGCAAGAGAATCGCTTAAGCCCAAGCATTGGAGGTTGCTGTGAGCTGTGGCGCCATAGCACTCTACTCAGGGCAACAGCTTGAGGCTCTGTCTCAAAAAAAAAAAAAAAAAAAAGTGGGCATTTCTGCATAAATGAGGAACTCTGCTTACTTTACAAGGAGGGTTTAAAAAAAAATCTATTTCTTTTTTACTATTTTAAAAACCTTTGTCATCCTATGAAGGTCCAACATGATGCTTTCTTATTGATAAACAAAAGCAAATAAACCACGTTAATTATTTAATGTAACCTAAAATAGATAAAAGTCATCAGATAAGCTTTCTTTTAAAGCTGTAGGATAGGCTCGAGGCCCGTAGCCCACTGGTTAAGGCGCTAGCCACATACACCAAGGCTGGTGGGATCGAAACCAGCCCAGGCAGCTAACACAACAATGACAACTGCAACCAAAAAAAAAATTGCAGGGTGTTGTGGCAGGTGCCTGTAGTCCCAGCTACTTGGGAGGCTGAGGCAAGAGAATTGCTTGAGCCCAAGAGTTTGAGCTGGCTGTGAGCTATGACACCATGGCACTCTACCTACCCAGTGTGATGCCAGAGACTGTCCCAAAAAATAAATAAATGAATGAATGAATAATTAAATAAATAAATAAGCTATAGGATAATTACAAGTAATCCACCAACTTACTTTCCACCCAAAATAAATAAGACCTGGAAAAATATGCAAGTGGCAGAAAAACTGCATTGCAACACCTGTCTTAAAGCACAGAATTAGGTGGCACCTGTGGTTCAGTGCGTAGGGTGCCGGCCCCAAAATACCGAGGATAGCGGGTTCGACCCGGCCCCAGCCAAACTGCAACAAAACCAGCCAGGTGTTGTGGCAAGCACCTGTAGTCCCAGTTGCTTGGGAGGCTGAAGCAAGAGAATCACCTAAGCCCAGGAGTTGAAAGTTGTTGTGAGCTGTGACGCCACGACATGACACTCTACCAAGGGTGACAAACTGAGACTCTGTCTCTAATTAAAAAAAAAAAAAAAAATAGTACAGAATCTTTTAGACTATGGCTGTTGGTGGCACCTGTAGCTCAAGCAGCTAAAGCGCCAGCCACATACATGAAATCTGGTGGGTTCAAATCTGGCCCCAACCTGCCAAACAATGACAACTACAACCAAAAAATAGCCGGGCGTTGTGGCTGGTACCTGTAGTCCCAGCTTCTTGGGAGGCTGAGGCAAAAGAATTGCTTAAGCCCACGAGTTAGAGGTTGCTATGAGCTATGATGCCATGGCACTGTACCCAGGGCGATAGCTTGAGGCTCTGTCTCAAAAAAAAAAAAAAAAGACTATGGTTGTTTTTCTTCACTTCTATGGAACCAAGGTTTCTCATAGCTAAATCACCAGGAACTATACCTGATAAACCTTGACAACTAAAACTTGCCAATACACTGGACTCAAGGACTCAAGTCTATCTTATTAATCCCAGCACTCTGGGAGGCCAAGCTGGTAGATCAACTGAGCTAAGTAAGGAGTTCAAGACTAGCCCAAGCAAGAGCAAGAACCTATCTTTAGAAATAGTTGGAAGCCGGGCATGGTTGCTCATGCCTGTAATCCTAGCACTCTAGAAGGCCAAGGCGAGTGGATTACCTGAGCTTAGGAGTTCCACACCAGCCTAGCAAGAGTGAGAACTCGTCTCTAAAAATAGCCAGGCGATGTGGCAGGTGCATGTAGTCCCAGCTACTCAGGAGGCTGAGGTAAGAGAATGGCTTAAGCCCAAGAGTCTGAGGTTGCTGTAAGCTGTCACACCACAGCTTACCCTTCACCCTTCACCCTTCTACCAAGGGTGAAGACTCTGTCTCAAAAGATAAATAAATAAATAAATACAAACATAGGCAGGCATTGTGGCGGGTGCCTGTTGGGAGGTTGAGGCAAGAGAACTGCTTAAAACCAAAGAGACCAAAGTTGCTGTGAGCTGTGATGCCACAGCACTCTACTGAAGGGACAAAGTGAAACTCTTCTCAAAAAAAAAAAAAAATCTCTACAGTGATTTTACATGCCCTCTCAAGTTATATTTATTTTGGTTTCATTTGCCTAAATAAAATCAAAGTAAATATATCAACTCTACTCAAAGCTCCATCACTATTCATCCTAACTCTCACATATTTTTCTCTAACCAACCATCCCCTATAATTCACAGAAAGACAAATTATCACATGTACTCATTAATATGTAGGAGCTTGAAAAGTTGATCTCATGGAAGTAGAAAGTAGAATGATAGTTACCAGAAGCTGGGAAGGTGGTGAGAGGTGGGGGCAAAAGGAAGGGATCGGTAGAAGAGTAGAGAGGTTGGTTAACAGGTACAAATATACAGTTAATCTAAGTTCTAATGTTTGATAGTAAAGTGACTATAGTTAAGAACAACTTGTACATTTCAAAGTAGCTCCAAGTTTCTATGTTCTCAAAACAGAAAGATACATGCTTATGGTAAAACATACCCTAAACATCCTGACAGGATCAGTAAATATTATCTGTGTATATAAAAAATATCACATGTACCCTATATGTACACTTTTGTACAGATAAACAAAAAGACTGTAATGGAAAAATTAATCAATTCCCTTTTCTTCACCTCTAAGAGGTAAAACAAAAGGTAGAAAAATTCACCATCCTCATCATTCAACAGCCATTAACTATCAAGGCAAGATCCTCCACAGCAGTCTTGGCCAATCATTAGCATTTTTTGAGCAATAAAGTATTTTTCCATTAAGGTGTAAAGAATTACACTATACTCCAAGCACAATATGACTATAATTTATCAATTAAAATATTAGGAAAATTTTTGGGTGGCGCCTGTGGCTCAAAGGAGTAGGATGCCAGTCCCATATACTGAAGGTGGTGGGTTCAAAGCCAGCCCCAGCCAAAAACTACAAAAAAAAAAATTATATATATATATATATATGTATACATAAAGAAAAATTTTTAAAAACACTTAACATCTGGTAAGACACATTTGTCCAAGTCCAACATAGGTGATTTTATTTAGTGTTTTGTTTTTGTTTTTTTTTGTAGAGACAGAGTCTTACTTTATAGCCCTTGGTAGAGTGCCTGGTATCACATAGCTCACAGCAACCTCTTACTCCTGGGCTTAGGAGATTCTCTTGCCTCAGCCTCCCGAGTAGCTGGGACTACAGGTGCCTGCCACAACGCCCAGCTATTATTTAGTTTTTAGACAGGGTCCCTCTATGTTGTTGCCCATGCCAGAGTACAGTGTTGCCACTGTTGCTCACTATAACCTCAAACACCTTGGCTCAAGAGATCCTCCTACCTGAGCCTCTTCAAGAGTTGGGACTACAGGAGTGCAAAACCACTATGCCAGGCTAATTTTTTTTTAATTTTTATTTTAGAGGTAAGGTTGGTCAGGCTGGTCTCAAACTCCTGTCCTCGAGTAATTTTCACACCTCAGACTCCCAAAGTGCTAGCATTACAAGTATAAGGCATCACACTTGGCCTAATATAAATGAACTTAATCACTTTGGGGGGCAGTGTCTGTGGCTCCGTGGGTAGAGCACTGGCCCCATATACTGAGGGTAGCAGGTTCAAACCCAGCCCTGTCCAAACTGCAACAAAAAAATAGTGGGGCATTGTGGTGGGTGCCTGTAGTCCCAGCTATTCGGGAGACTGAGGCAAGAGAATCACCTAAGCCCAAGAGTTGGAGGTTGCTGTGAACTGTGATGCCACAGCACTCTACTGAGTGCAAAAAAGTGAGACTCTGTCTCTACAACAACAACAACAACAACAACAAAGGGATTTCTCAGCTTATCAGAAAACAACCGGCTCGGTGCCTATAGCTCAACCGGCTAGGGTGCCAGCCACGTACACCTAAGGTGGCGGGTTCAAATCCCCAGCCCGGACCCGCCAAACAACAATGATGGCTGCAACCAAAAAATAGCCGGGCGTTGTGGCGGGCGCCTGTGGTCCCAGTTACTTGGGAGGCGGAGGCAGGAGACTCGCTTGAGCCCAGGAGTTGGAGGATGCTGTGAGCTGTAATGCCACGGCACTCTGCCCAGGGGGACAGCTTGAGGCTCTGTCTCGAAAAAAAAAAAAAAAGAAAACAACCAAGAGGATTCATCAAAACTACATAATCTAAACAGTTCCTCCACAGCCATAAGGAAGCAAATGGTAAGACCAATCATTCTTTCACAGCATACTGCAATTCTGAGTCAAGAGCCCAGTAAACCAACTCCCTGTTTCTTCCCTTTGGATCCAAAGCATTTCATTCCTTCTTATTCTGGCTTACCTCTACCTCGGACTCGCTTGCCACGGTCTGAAGGTTTATCTCCTTGATTGCTATCAATTCCATTTTCTTCACCTCTAACTAAAAGAGAAAAAAGGGCAGAAAAATCTTTTTATCATTTCTAAACCTCCTATAACATACCTTTACCAGACACCTATTAAAAGTAAGAACTAAATGACAAAAAGAAAACAAAAAGTTAAATTTCAAATAGATTTGCCTTCTCCAAAAGTTAAGTTTTTAATTCAAAAAAGCACTTTCTTAATGCAACTATGTAATACTCTACAGAATTTGCTCATTAGTTAAGTTCAAAGCCTAGAAAGGCACACAATGGCAAACTAGTAATACCAAAGAAACACTAGGTCCTTGGAAAATTTAAAGTGTTAGAGGTTAAGTTTTTCTAGAATACTGTCCAGAAAATGCCAACACAGTCTCCTCTTTTCTTCCTCCTTACGTTAGCATTAAATTAATGATTCAATGTAATACTGTCTTGCCCCTCACCTCTTTCAGGGCTTAGCTCGCATGTGTTGTCAGGAAGGCTTTTCTTGGTAATCCACTTAAATCTGTCAAATGTATAGGCCCATAATTCTCATATTTCTGCCTTTGTTTTTCCCCATCGCATACTGTACTTTATATATACTTTATATATAACATTAAAATATTATGTCAATATAAAATATATTACTTCTCTTTTGTACTATTATATCCCATTCCCTTTATTAAAAAGTGTTTTGGAGGGCAAAGATTTCTATCTGTTGGCTCGGCGCCTGTGGCTCAAGTGGCTAAGGTGCCAGCCACATACACCTAAGGTGGCGGGTTCGAATCCCCAGCCCGGGCCCACCAAACAACAATGATGGCTGCAACCAAAAAATGGCCAGGCATTGTGGCGGGCGCCTGTAGTCCCAGCTACTTGGGAGGTGGAGGCAGGAGACTCGCTTGAGCCCAGGAGTTGGAGGTTGCTGTGAGCTGTGATGCCATGGCACTCTACCCAGGGGGATAGCTTGAGGCTCCGTCTCAAAAAAAAAAAAAAAAAAAGATTTGTATCTGTTTTGCTGTATGCCTATAAGAGTTCCCAGGACATAACAGGCATTCAGTAAGTAACAGTGGGAAAAAATGAGCTAGCAAAAGTCTCTTAAGAGTTATATCAAGTATTTATTTTACTCATTCATAACTTAGCTTCTTTGATGTAATTCCTCAGCAGGCAGTGATGTTTTCTACTAAATAGTGCCCAAACCTGGGTCTAATGGAAAGTACTGAGAAAATCTTACTTACTGAACTTTCCATAAGTATCCATAAATGAGAATAACAAAACAGGTAGGTACAGCTTTCAATGTACACAACACACACACACACACACACACCACCCTTTAAAATTAGATATTGCACTTGATCCATAAAAGAAAGCAGTCTTAAGACATGCTAATTGCCCTACAGTCCAAGTCAGTGCTGATATGAAATTGCATCAGAGGCTCTAACGAACTACTCAGTTGCAGCTTATTACTAGTGCTATCTATAGAACAACTTTTGCATAGAAGAAATGGATTTATGAGTCTTCTTTGGACTAGTCTTCCAGGTTTCATACTGTATGAAAACTCCTAAGAAAAAGTTGAGGAGAAAAGCTTGTACTTACACTCTCTGCCACGATTACCACCTCTTCCTTTGCGGTTGCTATTTCCACTGGCACGACTTGCTTCTCTCTCACTCTTCTTCTCTCTATTCTCTTTGTTTTCTGAATTTTCTTTTCCAAAATTCCTCTTCTTTCCTCCTACTGTCTCCCATGAAGTCTACCAAAGAGGATAGCTGTTACTCAGAGTTGCCATTCAAAGTGTACACAATCATCAAGGGCACATACAAGTATCTTTCAAATCTACCCACAGCTTGCCGCTCACCTGTCATTTTAATTCTTTTTCATATAGTTCTTGATGATAAAGATGACGAAACTCTTGCTAAGCGCCTATTGCTGACTAGTTAGACCTATTAGCTGCTCTGCCAATATACTGTATGTTTTGCTAGCAGAGCCCTCTTCTACCTAGATTGTAAGTCGAATGTCATTTCCCCAACTCCTTTTACATGCCACCCTTCTTACCCCTGTAGTAGGTTCACCTGCTAATACACTGAGTAATTCAAATCTATAAAATTACTTAGAATGATGCCCCAAAAGCTCCAAAAGTACAACTTTACATACTCAAATATATAAAAGTCATCATCTAAAATAAAAATTAATGGTGGAAAAGTAAAATTTTAGACTGGCTTTGTTTTTCTATAAAGTGAATACCCAGGGCAAGGTCTGTGGCTCAGTGAGTAGGGCGCCAGCCCCATATACCAAGGGTGGCGGGTTCAAGCCCAGCCCCAGCCGAACTGCAACCAAAAAATAGCCGGGCATTGTGGTGGGCACCTGTAGTCCCAGCTACTCAGGGAAGCTGAGGCAAGAGAATCACTTATGCCCAGGAGTCGGAGGTTGCTGTGAGCTGTTTGACACCACGGCACTCTACCACGGGCAACAAAGTAAGACTCTGTCTCTACAAAAAAAAAAAAAAAATTTCACTATCAAAAAAAAAATCTTTCCAATGAGAAGTCAAATAATTTATATAACCTTTCCCCATCCCAAACCTAATGTTGATACCAAATCCAATCATATGAATACAGTAGAACCTTCCATAGCTGACCACCTCCCTATACTGACCCTTTCTTAAGTTGACCTTATTTTTGTAGACTGGATATGCACCACATGTACATACCAGTACAGTAGGCCTAGTTCTTTATGTTGACCACCTCTGTATGTTGACCAGTTTGTTACAGTCCCTTACAGAGGTTCTACTGTATAAAAATTGCTAAAAATAAGAATGAGATACTACAGGGTGGCGCCTATGGCTCAAGAAGTAGGGCACTGGCCCCATATACCGGGAGTGGTGATTTCAAGCCCAGCCCTGGCCAAAACTGCAAAAAAAAAAGAATGAGATACTACTTTACCGAATATAACTGAATGTAAGTACATCAGGGAGGATATATTACAAGAATATCCTAAAATAGGCCAATAGTGTGTCTTTGCTTTCCCACAATCATCTGCCTTATTTCACAAGAGATTTGAAGTTGTTCGATCCTAAAATTAAATTATTTTAAGATTTAAAAAACTTTAAAGCAAAAAAGAAAATAATTAACATTGTCTACCCAAAATAAACATAAACAATTAAAATCAATAAACTAAAATGCAAGTGATAGGCTCAGCATCCAAAGCTTAGTGGTTAGGGAGCCAGCCACATACACTAGGGCTGGTGGGTTCAAACGTGGCCTGGGCCTAATAAACAACAATAACAAGTACAACAACAACAACCAAAGAAATAGCTGGGCTATTGCGGCAGGTGCCTGTAGTTCCAGCTACTTGAGAGACTGAGATAAGAGAATTGCTTAAGCCCAAGAATTTGAGTTGCTGTGAGCTATGACACCACAGCATTCTAGCAAGGGTGACACAGTGAGACTATCTCAATAAATAAATGAATAAAAAATGCAAGTGACAGAAATGAATTGTTTCCAGAACACTGGAAGCCAGCTTGAAAACACTTTTAATGGAATTTGTAGACTTCTCCAAACCACTGTTGAATTCACATACTTACTTAGATATAAACGGATGTTAAAAAATATACATATTAAAATAAGTTATTTTGCACCTCTAAGATTTGATAAAGACTAAATACTGACACTTGATAGTTAAGGTAGAACAATCAGATATTCTCATACAGTTTTGGTGAGCATGTACCTACTGTAACCTCCCTAGAAGGCTACCTAATAATAGCATCTAAATTTTCTTTTTTTTTGAGACAGAGCCTCAAGCTATCCCCCTGGGTAGAGTGCTGTGGCATCACACTCACAGCAACCTCCAACTCCTGGGCTCAAGCGAGTCTCCTGCCTCAGCCTCCCAAGTAGCTGGG